ACACACACACACACACACACACACACTTCTATGAAAGGGAAAGTACAAGTTTGCAACTAGTTTAGAGAGCACCCATTCTAAAAAAAGTGTGTCATAGTCCTCCAGAAAGAAAAAAGCTGTTACAGTATTCCACCATTAATTTATTCTTCTCAGATTACCCATCTGAACACAAGTTGATGGAACACAGTGCTGGCACTTGCTGGTTGGAATGGGTTTCCCTGCTGGAAGAAAAACCTAGGCATGGGACAGGAACAGCATTGGTCATTCCAGGGGAGGACCTGCGTCAGAACATGAATCAGGGGGCACATATCAGAACCATCAACCGTTATATCTCTTTGGACTGCCTGTAAGGGTTGGGAGTCAGGTATTGCCTTAGAGTGAGTCTGTTCTTTTTTTAGTGGACAGTTCCTATCAATGTTTGTGGGAAAGGAGGGATTGGTTCAATGGGTGCATCTGTGTGAGGTGCCATAATGTTCACTCCCCCTGCCCTTTTCATTGTTTACATGAAGCTGCCAAGAAAGGTCATCCATTGGTTTAGAATGAGGTATCATTAATATTCTGATGATACCAAGTTGACGTCACCCAGTCAAGGCTGGGCTGGAGATGCCATGGAAGTTTTGACCCAGTGTCTGGAGGTTGTTGAGGTTTAGGTGAGACAAAACAAGCTAAAGTTGAACTTTAGCATGATGGATGTATTGTTTGTCCAGCAGAGTTCTTTATCAGCTACAATTTATCTTTGGATTATCCTCTAAAGTTTGCAACTTGGGGGTACTCTTTGACCCCTGGCTACTATTGCATGGACAGGTGGAGGCCATCGCCCTGGGGCCCTTTTTCCAGCTTGAGTGCCAGTTGTCCTACTTTGAGAGGGAGATTTTGGTGATGATAACTCGTGCCCAAATCTCTACTTGCTTAGACTACTGCAAAACACTATACATAGGGCTGTCTTTGAAGGCCACTTGGCAACTGAACTGATGCAAAATGTAATAGCCATTTGATGAGTAAGAGTACACATAACACCTGTTCTGTAGGTTCTGCATTGGCTTCTAGAAAGGTTCCAGATGTAATTCAAAGTGCAGCTTTTGACCCATAAAGCCATATATGGCTTGGCTCCCAGGTGCCTCCAGGACCACTTCCTCCAAGTGCAATCAACCCAGCCAATGCATCCCTCATATGAGAGGCTATTTATAGTCCTTAAGTTTTTGGAGATGGAGAGCAAGAGCCCAGAAAATGGAGGGCTTCTTCCAGAGGCCAGGTTGGTGCCAACCCTAATGGTATTCTGAAAGCTGGATAAGTCTGATTTGTTTCTGGAGTCTTATGATACTAACTGCAAGGAGTCTTCTGTGTTATTATGGTGGTATATAAAATAGATATGCCAGGGGGCTCATCTGAATCTACTATCAGACCTGCACCTACATCTGGAAGAGCTTTTAGGATAGTTATTGGGAATGAGTTAATAAGCATAGTGGGATTTTACTACTGAAAACAAGTCTGTGAACAATTAAGTTGTAATGCATCTATAACTGCATAGGCTGATAGTTTTCCCTTACTATTTTTGCGTCTCATTTTCCTCCCTGTCCTATCCTCCTTTGTTTCTCCCACAATGTAATTAGACAGTAAGCACTTAGGAACAGGATATTTTATACACCATTCAATAAAACCACCAGCACCAGCACCACTGAAATTATTACTGCTAGAGTTATATCCCGCCTTTATCTAGTACAACTCAAGGTGACATACATAATGTTCCCACCACCTATTTTTCCCACAATCACTTTGTAATATGGGTTGGATTGGGCTAGGAGACAGTGACTGACCCAATGTCACCCAGCCAGCTTTTATACATAAAGGAGGACTAGAACTCACCATCTCCGGGTTTCTAGTTCAGCACCTTAACCATTACACCAAACTGGCTCTCTTTTGCATGTTCTCATTATATATGGGGGTTTCTTTTCAAGTTCTGGGTTCTGACTCAGAGCCAAAAGTTACATTCAGAGAGAGCGACCCCAAAAAATCTGTTCTAGGTGTCAAAGTTCTTAGGTATATTTAAGGGGCATTTTGGACCCCTGTGTATTGTCTACGGAAAATAAAAGGAAAAAGAAAAAGAAACTGAAAAAGAATAATAAATTGGGAAGGCAGTCAATTCTATCACACTCACATCAGCAAATTCCTGGTCAGAGGTGAAGAGCAATTAGAATAATATCAGAGCAAGCCAGATAGACGTGTAAGTGAGATGTGATTAATATGCTTCCAGAGGGCTGTTGAGTGGAAAAAGGTTTCCAGCTGTAAAGAAAGGAAACAAAGTAAATTAAATGGTGCAGAGAAGAGAGAAACAAAGATAAGATGTTGTCACGGTCAGAGAGGTAGAGAACAACACTGAATGTCTCAGTGGACTTGTGACATAATCTTTTGTTAGCTCTCAAATAAAAAAGGATCTTACATCACCATTAAAAAAATCTTACAGAATGTTATGAGTTTCCTAAGATCTGTTATGATTGTGCCTGCAAAACCTTGACAGAGGTGTGGACCAAGCTGAAGCAGTTTGATTGATACAATGGGCTCTCTTATTTATTTGCAGACCACAGATGACATCTTGGTGGCCTCAGCTGAATGCCCCAGCGATGATGAGGACATTGATCCCTGTGAGACGAGCTCAGGTGGGTTAGGTTAGTCAACTTTTTTATTACTTCCTTTTTATTTTGATTCTTTGCATGCAGCAGTGATGAAAGAACACTATTTCAGCCTCCATTGACGATGAGGCAAAATTCATTCTCTTGGGTCCCAGATACGAATTGTCAACATAATTCTGTGTGTCCACATGTGTCTGTTATGTATGAGAGCGAAAGAAAGAGAGATAAAGACTCCTACTAAACGGGTTATTGTCCTCTGGCACCCTATAATCACAGGAAACTTAACAACTATATAGAAAAACCTAAATATGAGTGAGTGGCTATCAACATAGATTAGAACCTTGACAATAAATTCTAGGAGTACTCCTTTGAAAATAGTGATGGCTACTTAGGTTTCTTCTATTATTTTTATTAAAAGGTCTTCAGGAAAAACTAATGAATTTTATGACAGTGAGGTTATTTTAAGCAATGTGTTTATCAAGGGTTGTGTAGATGAAATATATAAAGAGCAGAGATTTTAGGGACTAGGAAAGGATTGAGCCCCTCTGAAAGGAAAAAATGCATCTTCCACTGACAAGACTTGCTAATTGCCTGGAACTGTAAATATTTCTGCTGAGCAGAAGGCATTTTGCCAGGGAAGACTTCATAGATGGGAAACAGTGAAAAAATATGAGATTTACAACTACACTATGAAATCTCAATAAGGAAAGTATTATTTGTTTATGGACATGAAGAGCTATAGGTTTCCGTATCTTTAAGTAGATGACAGAGCACACCTTTTAATCTGGTGAAGAGTTCAGCCAGTATTCAAATTGCAGCTGACCATCTCTGCTTGCAACTTATATTTGGAAGGAGGGCGAGGGCAGGTTGAATTGTATCCCTAACAAGACTGATCATCACAAACTCCCATTCATAGCCCTGGCAGTAGTGTGCATGAATGAGTGACAGACCACAACTTCTAAGATACACAGTTGCTTCTATAGTTAAGATTTTATACTGCAGCTCCTTTTTAAAAGGACAGTTCTGTTATCTGCAACAAGAGGAAGTTATAAAAAATAAGATAGAGGAATAAGGCAAGAAAGGCATTTTCTGTGTGCAGGGATTTTGATATGTTTCTCTGTGACTTAACAGAAATTACCAATATATTTTCATTTTTCTCCATAATTGCAATGGCTATAAAAATTTTTAAATTCCAAGATCCTTGGTATACCACACATGGTAACACCTAAACCTACCTTATAGTTGGGATGCAGTTCTCTTAGGCTGTCAGCAGTTCTCCAGGGCTTCAAGTGAAGGATTTTTCCATCATCTAATTGGTCCTCTAGCAACTCCAAGGGTTGAAACTGAGACCCTTCCTTCACTGAGCTCTGGTTCCTTTCCCACCTTCTCCATTAGAATTTTTATAAAGACCAAGATCTATATTACAGTAAAAGTTTTGGCAGAGTACAGTCAACTACAGAACAGCTTACTTTAGATGCAAATGTTTTGGAATCCTATTGGAAGACAGTAGAAAGTCAAGTCTGACTCCTTTTGATTTGGATGCAACTGTGCAACTTTTTGGAAGATTATGAAAGTGGTTTGTCACTACCTTCTTCCAAGATGTTTTTTTGTTTGTTTGTTTTTAATTTTCTGGTCTACTTTATAGTTGATATGTAATGTTTCAGCAAGGAAGCCAAATAATTGTTCCCTCACTCTGAAATCATTATTTCACATTGTTTCCAGGAAATATGGATATTTATAAACATTTGTACATTAATAAATTTCCTGCTAGGGTTGTCCTTCATGATTCATGAGGCCATTTCAACCTCTGGGAATCAAAAGTACAAACACATCTAATTTATCAGACTTCAATAGATTCCATATGTTGAAACAGCAAGAGTATCATTCCATTAAGAATAATATATATCAGATATAGCAGATGTATTAGATGTACCCATACTTAATTATCTATAAGCAAATAACTACCATGATCCATATTTCACATTTATTTATATTAGAGTTGTCAGGCTGAGGGCCAAAAAGTACCTCATTGCTGTTTGTTGTTTGTTTTTATCCAATGATTCAAAACACATAGAATCATATGCAGGTTTACAGTTTGTATTGTTACTTCTGGAACTAAAAGCTCTATTTACACATTCACATCTATCTAACTCAAAATCTGGCTTGCCAGGCTAGGGTTGAGTTCTAGAAGAAACTAGTTAGGTTGCTTGTTCTGTGTGATGCCTCCCAAGTACCACAGTTCCCATACATTTTTATACCTTCCCACAAAGCTTGACCAGTCCATCAAAGCTGGACCTTGGCATTGTAGCCACACCCTTTTCCAACTGAATGCCATTGCCTTTGTTCAGTTATTTGAGGGATCAACATTTCTGCCTCCATAGCTTGTATTAAGTGGGCCTCATGTACTCCATCTTTCATATATGTCCATTTCCCCAAATGCATGGTGTTATGCTGCACATTATCACTATATAATGGCATTGTATAATGATTGACATATATTGGTATTAATATACTACTATATGTTTTATTACTTAATATAGTTAAACATGGTTTATAGACTCCTAAAAATAGATATTAAGAATTGAGAAATCTCAGTCTTTTACAAGTTAAGATTTACTTACCCTTCTGTGTTGGACCAATCCATTTACCTACTTTGGAATAACACTTTATTTGTGAGTTAGAGGTTGTGAACTCTACTCTACAATTAGCTGCAATGGTTTCCTCCAAAGATTTAATCAACATCCCAAATCATTATTTCCTTCTGTACTAGAATAACTGGCTTCATCCCTCCTCCCTCTTTCTTTTTCCATGTCTTAACACATAACTGACTTTCATTGTTGTCTCCTGGGAGAATGTCTCCTGAGAAGAGGCAGCATTTCTAGTGTTACTGTGCAGTGCTCCTAAAGATATTTCAGCTCTGATACTTTACCTCTGTGAACACATTTGAATACTAGATTAGGCACAACACTATCCTGTCTATATGCCCTTGATTATAAAGAACTGGCTGGCATATAGATACATTTGGAGGGCACAAAATCATGTACCCTTCTGATGAGGTCATGGATATAGAATTGATGACAAGGAAACCACTGTACCTCCATAGTGCCAATCACAGAGAGACCCAAGACATAACACCTACAGCAGTGTTGTCCAAACTTGTCCACTTTAAGGTGAGTGGACTTCAACTCCCAGAATTCTGGGA